GATGAAAAATAAAGCTTAGTTTGAGGAAAGTCTTTATTTTACCAGACTAGTACACTTCTCTCTCAAGTGTGTCACACATTTCTGAAGAAATTAGCGACTTTTGCCTGCCGCAGCCTTTTAACGGCGTCGCGGGTTGCGGACGGACGTTGCGAGCGTTCAGGACTGCTAACCCTAATCACTTTTCTCCGGTGATGAAAACGTATTAAACTTCGCATCCTTTATACGGTACGCGCCAGTAATACCTTCAACTTGAGCACAGGCATGAAATGTTCAAAATAAGAAATCCGGGCGATGTTCGAAAACACAAATGCTTAGAAAGCACCACTGTAGTCCAAGTAAACAAACACGACGACACGGGCGTTTCTGCCGTCTTGAGAGTGCCGCCACAACATCGCCGCACGAGTAGGTGGATCTTCTCTTCTAGTACGTGCTGGGTTATCATAGCGACACACAACGAAAATTCAGTCAAGGATAGCGCTTTTACGCGGAAAGATGAGCATCCACCACGCCGTTAAAGTGAACTAGAACGCCGTCTACGTCAACGATCACAACCAACGCCATGTTTGCGGATAGAAGCAGCCGACCCGCGACCGGCATGCAACGCGCGCGAACACTTCTCCTCGACCTGCGATAGGTCTGTCGTTGCGGTTGTTTTCAACGACACGTGCGTACGTCCCTCCTTCGCTATGGCAACTGAAGCCTCTCTCTTCGCTTCTCCCAGCTTCTTCGAGCAACCTCCTTGCCCCGAGAGTGCCGCTTGCGGCTCGCGCCGTTATCTAGTGTCGCACAGGGAAGCGTGCTCGCTGCCCCGGTTGTTCCGGAAGCCGCACTATAACCGGTATTTCCCTTCGCGTGCCTACATTTTAAGCGGTATGTAATTACATGGAGTTCTATGGAAGGCAAACCGGTGGTTTAAAAAAGCCGCGTTATACCCGCTCCTGCACTATAAGCGGTTACGTTGTAAGTGGTCTACACTGTATTAACTTTTATTAACCCAAAAACTGATCATGAGATTCTAATGGAAATTAATGCTAATATCCAAATACTGCTACAGCGCACTAATGGTTTAGAGGAAAAGTTGGAAAACTTGACCACGAGGGTGACGTCGAGTGAAGACCGTATGACGGCCCGGGCTGAGGAACTTCAAACGCATATTCAAGCCCTGGAGAACAAGATAGATGAACTGAAAAATAGAGAACAAAGGAACAACTTGGTGATACATGGTCTGACGGAGAGTCCGCAGGAAAGTTTGTCCTCGTTAAATACTACGGTAGTCAAGGAAATATTCGAAAAACATTTGGAGGTATCGATAACAAGTATAGAGCGGATCCACCGTCTCGTAAAGCACAAAGAAGGTTCATGACGCCCCGTCATACTTAGACTTATGGACTACCGGGAAAAAGAGCTGATACTTCAAAATGCTAAAAAATTAAAAGGCACAAATATATACATTGGTGAAGATTTTTCATACCGTGTTCGCTCAGTCAGGAGACTTCTTTGGAACAGCTCACGAGCCAACAGGGAAAGGAGGGAAAAGGTGTATTTGTCATATGATAAGCTGAAGATAAATGGTGAAGTGTACATATGGGATGACCAGAAAAATGACAAAGTGAAACAAGTACAAACTTCCAGCCGGCGCCTTACTCCCTGCGCATGACACAAAGAGGAAGAAAAGAAGAACTAAGACTGGTATCCCTAAATGCACGAAGCTTAGTTAACAAAACTGACCAACTAGAAGCTTTAATTTATTGCTATGACCCGCATGTTTTTCTGATAACCGAAACCTGGCTTAATGATAATATTCTTGATAACGAAGTCGTACCGCCAAACTATAGGTTACTTCGCAGGGATAGGTGCGGCAGAGGTGGAGGAGTAGCTATAGCAATAAAAGACAACTTGGTGTTTCAATCCATGGAGCATGTTGGTGACAGTGAAAGTGTGTGGTGCAAGTTGGATTTCTTCGGAACTTGGATAACTGTTGGAACGGTATATAAAAAGGCAGGATCATCCTCTGAGGACTTAGATAAAATCTTGGATTACTTGATCACAAACACTAATAGTCGAAGTAAATTGATAATTGGAGGAGATTTTAACGCTCCGGACGTCATTTGGTCGGATGATGGTGTGGCTGTCCAGGGCACGAGGATGTCCGACTCGCTTCTACAATTGGCTTTCAGTCGCGGTCTACGTCAAGTTGTTACGGAACCTACGCGTGTTACTGACACTACATGTTCGCTACTCAATCTTTTGTTTGTTAGTAATCATTTCGATGGTTGTGAGGTTTCTGTTCATGACGGAATATCTGACCATAAGTTAGTATTTTTAAAATGTGATATTTCTGTTACTAAGTCTAAACACTATGAAAAGAAGATGTACTATGATTTTGGTAGGGCAAATGATGAATCCGTTATTGACTATCTTGAGCAGTGCCTCGATAACTTCAATCAGCGGACTGAGGTAAATGAAATGTAACTAAGCTTCAAGTGTATAGTGGGCCATTGTCTTGCTTATTTTATTCCAAAAAAGACAAAAAAGATAAAACGCCGAAACCCGTGGATAACACGGGAAATTCTGCACGTCAAACGGAAGCTGAAAAGGCTTCGGAAGCGTCGATCTGATTATGTAAATCAGCAGGCGAGGCAACTAAAAAGCTTAATAAAATTGGCTAAAGAAACATACCATACAAGGACGTTACCTGAATGTTAGCTATCTAACCCCGAAAAGTTCTGGCGTCACCTATCTCCTACAAAAAGTGGTATTAAACAGATATCTATTGACGGCAGCCTGGTGAGTGACAAGGCAATAATAGCAGTTAAGTTCAATCAGTTTTTCCAGTCTGTATTTACAAGAGAATCATGTAAGAACATCATTATTCCTCCCGCAGATGACATGACCAGTTTTATATCTGAGGAGGGTGTTGTTGCACTACTACTTTCACTCAATGAAAAAAAATCCCCGGGACCAGATGCTTTGCCGAATGCCTTCTTTAAAAGATATGTAGAATGGGTGGCCAAATACCTTGTACGAATATTTTCTGTATCAATCAAGGATGCTGCATTACCGAATGACTGGCTAGTCGCTAGGGTTGTCCCTATAAAGAAATCTGGCAGAAGTGACTCAATTGATAATTACCGTCCTATCTCCATGACTTGCACGGCCTGTAAATTACTATAACATATCATAACCAAACAACTCGTTTCTTTCTTAGAAATGCATAATGTTCTAAACCCCAACCAACATGGTTTCCGCAGTGGCCTGTCAACGGTAACCCAGTTGATTGAATTTTACCATGAATTAGCCACTTACGTTAACAACCGTACGCAGGTTGATGCAGTTTTCATCGACCTGTCGAAGGCGTTCGACCGGGTACCTCACCGCAGACTGATTAAGAGATTAATAGACCTCGGAGTTCCCTTTTCTTTGACTAGGTGGATCAATGCATATCTTTCAAACCGTCAACAATTTGTGGATATAAATGGTAGTTACTCAGGGCTGTTAGATGTTCATTCTGGGGTGCCCCAAGGTTCTGTCTTAGGGCCCCTACTTTTTTTAACTTACGTTAACAGTTTGTTCCCATCCAATGAAGGTGTCCCAATTAACCTAAGAATGTTTGCCGACGACTGCGTCATTTACAGTCCCTTTGTTGAAATACAAGACCAGATAAAAGTGAGTGAAGCGCTGGCTAACATTGCGTCTTGGTGTCGTGAAAATAACATGAAGATTAATATTAGCAAAACTCAGTACATGCATATAACAACAAAAAGAACTGTCTTAAACTTTAGCTATGAGGTTGCTGGCGTAGTATTGACTGAAGTAGACAGTTACAAATATTTAGGAGTGATTTTGTCTTCTGACCTCGGGTGGAAAAAGCATGTGGAGTATGTTAAAAAGCGGGCAACTAACAAATTGTGGTACCTGAAGAGAACGCTGGGTAAAACTCCCCCTTCCGTTAAAATTCTTGCGTATAAGACAATTATTAGACCTGTGTTAGAATACGCGTCTGCAGTGTGGAGCCCATGGCAGAGCTCTCTGGTCAGAGAACTCTAAGATATTCAATCGCTAGCTGTACGTATAGTTTTTTCAGATTTCAGACGAACTACGTCTGTGACCGAACTTAAAAGGGAAGCCAATATAAGCCCTCTGTCAAACAGAAGAGAGAGCCAACGGTTGAAGCTGTTCTTTCAGATTTTCAAGAACTGTATAAAAATTGATGGCTCCCTTTACTTAAAACCAAAATGTTTTTACTCTGAACGCTTGCATCACTCAAAGACCGTAGCCCCTATTAAAGCTTGAATAAATAGCTATAAACAATCTTTTTTTGTGCATACAATTGATTTGTGGAACAGCCTTCCCGGTGATGTCGATATTGATGCACTCTGTTCTTTCGAAAAAGCCGTAGATAATATTTTTCAGTGCTAAGATTGCTTTTATTGCTCTTAAGATATTATTTTTACTGTCTTTATTTTTTATTACTGCTGTTACATTTACTGATATACTGTTATTGTTATTACTAGTATTACATTTGGTTACTGTATTAATTCTCTTCTTTCGAATATGTCGTAGATATTATTTTTCGGTGCTAAGATTGCTTTTTGTTTAGAACTGTTGTGTTTATAATGTGCATGTGTGACACTGTATCACCCCACTCCTGCCTTGGCCCTATATTGGGCTGGCAGTATTGATAAATAAATAAATAACTAAATAAATAACTTGTACTCGTACAAGCATTCTCGAACAAATCTCAAGCCGAGCAGAAAGTGAAAAAGTCTTGACCGTACCAGATAGAATCCGAATTGTGGCTCCAGCAAAGGACCACAAGTCAGATTCGGAATGAGTATGAGTGGTTCCGACCGATATAAAAGTGCAATTAAACCCCTCGTAGTCAAAACGATTACGGGCAAGTTCGAACTCAAACCTGCTCAAGTATACTCTCCCCCCCTCGACGAATATCCTCACACTCATACTCCGTCAAGTGGAAGTTGAAAAGATCCGGACCGTACCGGACAGAATCCGGCTCGTGGCTCCGGCAGACGGCCTGTGGGGCAGCACCGTCTCTGGCTCCGGATCAATCCAGCAGTTGCCGCAGGGTTCGCGCCAGAGCTGCCTTCTCGTAGTTGGGACGGACTCCAGGGACGGCAGGAGTTCACGTACCTCCCCTCTGGCCGCATCTCCGGCCGCCAAGGGTTCGGGCCTGAACTCGAGTTCCGGCACTTCTTTGAGCTGGGGATCCGGTAGCACCGGCCCAGTGTCTAATAGGGGTTCGGGTTCAGAAACCGGCTCCGGCGCTGGGACGGAGCTCACTTCCGGCTCTGGTTTCTCGGGCGACTCGGCTCGGCCCTCCTGCGAGCGAATCAAGGCACCGGTTAAAGGGGCAGTCAAGTGGTTTTTGAGTTCGTGTTTTGATAATGACAGCTGAATTTAGACGCCTTAAGTATCCCTAAAAACCAAAAAGTATAGTCATACGGTGATTATTTCTTTAATAAAAATGTAATTGAAGGCCGCCAAACCTCGGATCCATCCGAAAACGAAACCACTCTCATTGGTCGTCGCACGCTTATCAAAAGGATCTCGGGCCAATGGCGTTGGACGACGTTCCGTCGCGCAGTGATCCCGAGGTAGCCGCATCGGCCGAACCTCTTTGTCATTCGAGCTTCGATCATGGCGGAGTTCTATACGCTCGAGGACCTGACGCCGTTAGAGGTTGAAGTTCTTCGGCGGACAGCCGACCTGGGGATGATTTCCTATGACGCCACTCCGACGTGCGATGTGGACGATAGCAGCGCTTCGGAGTCATGTGCGGGTTCCGAGGACGACGAAACGCAGACCTTTTCGGGCGTTCTTCGATTTGCGGTTGGGGCAAGTCGTAACCAAACCAACATTTGACATCGCAGCGTTACCTCTGGTACGTGATGTCAAACGATGTCGCCACGTTGACTTTCGCCTCGGGAGAACGGGGGGAAGGCTGGTTCAGACATGTGCAACGAGAGCGTACCTACGACTGCGTCCGTTGCAACCGGAACGACCGCACTCCGCCGCGCGTACACACACCTGCAACCACTACAACAAGCGCAGCGGGTCGTCAGCACGGCGACCGCTTCTGTACGCCGCCGTCAGCAGTGTCAGCGGCCCCTCTAAAAAAGGGGACGCACTGCTACTCAATGCCGTAACAGAATATAGACAGACAGTTTTCTAGTCTAAAGCTTTATTATTTTTTCTTGATAGGCTTGCAGGGTACAGCGAATGAAAAAAATAAAATAAAAAGATGCAGCGCCGTCTTGGACGATCACGACTCTAATACACGACATTGCAATAGAACAAATATCGCCACACGCCTTTTCTACGATTATAAAAGACAATGTAATCTTAGCAGCGATATAGCAACGTAGAAATATGATTTCGTGATCAGATAGACGTTGCGAGCGTTCAGGATTGCTAACCCTAATCATTTTTCTCCGGTGATGAAAACGCGTGAAAATTCGTATCCTTTATACGGTACGCGCCAGTAATACCTTGAACTTGAGCACACGCATGAAATGCGCCAAATCAGAAATCCGGGCGATGTTCGAGGACAGAAATGCTTAGAAAGCACCACTGTAGTCGAAGTAAACAAACACGACGGCACGGGCGTTTCTGCTATCTTGAGAGTGCCGCCACGACATCGCCGCACGAGTAGGTGGATGCTCCCTTCTAGTACGTGCTGGGTTATCATAGCCAAACACGACGAAAATTCACAGTCAAGGATAGCGCTTTTACGCGGAACGATGAGCTTTCACCAGGCCGTCCATTCCGACGATCACCACCGACGCCACGTTTGCGGATAGAAGGAGCCGGCCGGCCTGCAACGCGCGGAGATACGTGCGCTTCCGCGCATCCCTGGGGAACGGGAAATTCACCTCCCGCGGAGGAAGGCAAATAGAAAACGTAGTCCCTTGTTTGTGAAACGATAATTGCGCTATCGCGTATTCTAAACTAGAAATATTTTACGTCTTGTGAAATTATCATGCACAACATATTTAAATGAACTGAAAATTGTTTTTTTAGCGAAACTTTAAAAAGACCGCCAAAATTTTCAAACATACGATAATTTCATTGGTCCTCGCAAGTACAGAAAAGAGTCCGCACGTATTTTATTCCTGCGTGATTAATAGGCGTTTCTGCCTTCTAAAACTGAAGATACTCATTCACTGACACTTCCTTAACACCATCGCACCAAAAAGTAGCTTCTCCAAAAACCGCTTGAGTGTCCCTTTAAGGGAACATTGACAAGGCACCTCAAAGTAATTGTGCTGTGTGCATGCTTGGATGGTGGGAACTTAGCCCTAATTAGCACCTTTTGTCTCGACTGTAGATGAGGAGTTTAGACGGTGCAGTAGCACCGCTAGCATAACGCTATAGTTTTACACTACAAGACGCCAGTATAACGCTCATCCAGATCGAATCGGGCAAAGGCAGGGATTGAACCCGGAATCCCCGGGTCCTGCCATTCAAGCTTTCGCTCCCCGTGCCACACGCTGCAGCACATGAACGCACTTCCCCTGACATGGCACCTGTGCGTGCTCATATTTTCACAGACACAGACGCTAGAACAAGCGCCTCTCCATCGACTTACTTTTCCCACAAAATGCTTTATGTCGCATAAAAGGACGGCGCACAAAAGCACCCAACGCAGAGGGAGGGAGAGAGATACGAGACTTTTCCCACCTTCCTGAGCCGACAGGACCTGAGCTTCTGCTGCAGCAGCTCGACCTTGTGCCTCGTCACCAGGTTCTCCCGGTGGCGCCGGCTCTCCGATGCGCTGTCCTCGTCACTCATCTCCCGCGTAGAGTGGGCACTGCTTGCCCGGAAACCAAGACGGAAAGGAACGAAGGTTTCTAAGATGATCAGAGTCGTTTGTGCGAGTGCAAGGGTGTCATAAAAAGAAAAAAAAACTGTGACGGCGATGGCTGTTATTGCGCGTAGTAACACCCAATTTTATGCATATCCACTCTTTACTCGCTCGATCACACACAACACAACCTTGCAGTCACCAAAGCATGTAAGAAAGGGAGCGTGCCACACACGTACGAGTCAATGTTCCTGCCCGAGACTAAATCGAGACCGTTAGTTACCATTTCAAGTGCTGCATTGCTTTACAACTGAAAATACAAGCAAATAGAGTTTTATGGCAAGGAAGGTGTAGCGGCATCCCCCAGCGACCGTAAAAGTAAAGGACACTACCACCTGGCAAGAGCCTCATGGGATGGTGCACGCGCGGGCACACATGAAACAGAGTTTACTGTCCGGCGCAATGCCGACGTTTCAAATGCAGCTGGGAAGTTCCAGTGACAGCTCGCTGTAAAAACTACGCCTTCTCTCTGACTGCCTTTAAAGGAGACGTAATGCATTAGTATTTTGATGCATACGTTGGTGAATTTATTATTTGTTTATTCAACTTTGGTAATGGCATGGGCCCTCTCTGTGCACTCTTCAGCGTGCCCCGAGTTGAGCTCACGTTAGTGCAACGTCGCGTGACCTCGCGTTGCGATGTTGGGGTCACGTGACACAACGTCACGCCGCGTTGCATCAATTACACACCCATTCGGGTCTTCCCGCTAAATTCGGCCATAGAGCCGACAGAGAGCAAGCCTATGGACAACGGAGGCTCGCCTGCAACAGCGAATGTTAGAACAGTAGGCTTAAGAAGTTGTATGCACATTACTCACACACACGGTGCAGAAAAGGCCACAAAAAGCTTCATCCCACATTACTTCACAGTCCATCCATTCTCTACTCAGGCGTTCCAAAATCTTGTAACTATCCCTAGTCTGTGCCAACAACTGTTTGATACTAGAGCAAATTAAGGGACACCCCGAAAACAATGTTCTGAAATCAATGTTCACTTTCTACCCTCGTAAAGAACCGATGCATTCCCCTCTCGTTTTTGCAAGCATCTGGACCCACCTGAGTGATCCCGTGGAAGACCTGGAGCCTCCATCCACCAGCGTGTACAGGTGCACCTGGTCGCCGTCTCGCATCACCACCATCCGCACAGCTCTCAGCCGGGGAGCATTAAGGCCAAGCTCTTCCCTGTATGCACAACGCCTCCATTACAACTCCAAACCCCAAGCCCGCTGCAACTTTTCCTTGTGCCAAGTTTCCTCGTCCATGGTCAAGTTTAAATTTCTTCAAATTGGGGGGTAGGGGGGGGGGGGGGGGGTCATTTCTTCAAAGATTAATTTTTTCACGCAGATTTGGTGTTTCCTGGCACCGATTCTCAGCGTCCGACAAAAGAAACGGTGCGCTTATTGGGGTGTACGTTGCAAACGGGACACGGGCACTCAGCCCCCACAGAACACGTGTGTGAACTAAATACTTGAACAAATGCGTAGCAAACTGCTGGGCAATTGCATCACACGTGAAACATGAGGCGTCTGCACTCTCAGAGCTCTTCATCGGTTAGTTTAGAGACTCACTCAATAATGCGTGGCGTGTACACCCTACAGCGATTCCTGGAATTTAGGTACCGGAGCTGACCCTGGTTTTAAAAACATGTGACAGGGCGTCGAGTTGGCATGTACTGAATGCAGGGCGGATGTCCCGCAAGGTTTGTCCATCAAACAGCACCTCAACCCACGACAATCTGTCGCAACATGCTGAAAAGATGCTTGCTTAGTAATCTAAATGGCTGGGTTCAATTCCCGCCTGGTGCTAACGCTTTTTACTGCAATGGCCTCTTCCCCCTACTCAAGATGGTGGCCGCATCCGAAATAGGCGGTGCGACGTCATAACCTGGCTCGGCCAATCGGCTAAGTTAATTGGCAGCTTCGCTTTTTGCTTCAAAAATTTCTATACCCTCCCCCGACGAGAAAAAGCACATTTCACGTGGAAACATCTTGGTACCAACAACCAAACGACTTAAAGGGTGCGGTTCCCGAAGTGAAAAGGCAGCCTTGCAGGCAGCTTACTGCAGGCAGTGCTTTGGGTTAAGAAAAAAACAAAGCTGTAGCTAAAGATATCTTCCCGTGAAGCATGCGTTTTTCTTTAAGGACAACTCTAATTAAGGGCTTTTCAGCCTTCCCCAAGTTTGACGAAACTTGAAACAAGGGTTCACTTTTGGGGCTCATCGGTGTACACCTAAAACGAGGAACTCCAGTCGTAGCAATAACAGAAACAACTTTGCGAGGCTGCAGTGGGACCACGGCCAATTCCTATTGAGGGGAGACCCTAATCTTGAAACGCAAAATTGCAAAAAATATATATATATTTTTGAAAATTTTTTTTTTTTTATTTATAACTTACAAACCACATGTATTGTAAGTGCTACACACAGAAAGTGCACACTATATAGTTACATTGAATCAAAGTTTCAATTTGAAAGCATGTTTTGAAAAGCTTTTCCGTTTTCATCAGAATTCACTTTTTTGTCACAACACAAAGTTTTGCCGTAATGAAAGGTCGAGACATACCACTTACCGAGCAGATTTTTCCGCTGAAGAAAGGCGGGGGCACAATACAGCAGTGGCGTCAGCGCGGTGACGATGGGCACTCGTCGACCAATCGCAAGCTGCCTATTGTGGAGAGGCGACTTGTGATTGGCCGACGTGCTTGGAGAGGCGGCTCGTGATTGGCCGATGAGCGCCCATTGTCACCACGCTGACATCGCTGCTGGGTTCAGAAAGTGGTGTGTCCCGACCTTTCATCATGCTTTTAATAAAGAAATCGGCCCCGCACGATTGTAATTCTTGGATTTTTAGGATGCTTAGGGCCTGTAGAATCAGATACGACAAAGAACAGACGATCGCAAAATCCACTTTAGTGCACCCTTTAATGCAAACGACAACACGAGGAGACCACCTCACACAGCAATGCCCGCCTCCGTAAAGCCTGCTAGCAAGATGGTGGCTGCACCGGCCAATGTTTGCTATAGTCGGGTATGAATAACCACAGCCCGACTACCGCCAGCCAGTGTTCCTCCGCAATGAACAAATAGACCGGTACCAGGATGCACGTCCTGCTGAAGTGGGGATCGATGCGTACTGCTTGCCCGCAAGGACAAGACAGGCTGGGCACAAAAAATCCCTCACTTGTTGTAATAGGCCTAGAAATAGAGTGATCGCCCCTGCGTGCCCTAGGCCATGCCAACCTCTTTCTTTTTCACAAGCCCATGAGGGATGCAACTCGTCATGGCTACTGCCTTTCCTGGTTGGTCCGCAAAGCGAATTAACGCCGTGGCTAGTACAGAATGATGTTTATTTGACACATTCTTAACTTGTATCCAACTATAGCAGAGCACAAGGTGAGGGCGTGGTTCAATGAGCACACAGCTCGTCCTCGGCACACATTAAATATTTTATGCAGCATTCAGAAGGTGGCACCGATAGGTCTGCGAGCCAAGTGTCTTCCCAGCAATGTCCCTACAGCATTATTAACCAGTCGCTCCATTTCACTCAATGTTTCATGTAGCCATGACTGATGTGGATGTAAAAACACTGCAACAATGTAAGAACACGACGGTCTCAAAACACAGGCCCAACTCGAAAAAGCAAACCTACGGTTTTCACCAGCCAACACCCAATGCAGCTAGTTCTGGCAAAAAGCATTTACATATCAATCTTTACCCTCTGTCGTAAATTAAAATATAATTAAGATGTGGTCCTGCTGCTGGGTGCTGCAGGGTTGGCTCAACAAGTCCCCGTCTTGTGCCAGACCTTTGCGAATATGTATCTATTATTTCACCACCACAGAAAGTTCCCTTTCCCGTACACAAGCTTAACAATGAATGCGAGTTGAAAGCCATTTTTTGCAGAAGAGAAATTTGCACACATGAACTGTTTTAGTCTGACGAAGTTGCGACCACCGTAAAAGTCCGTAAGGATGCCCTTCCCAGAGAGATCGCCCATCCCGTTTTTCTGGCTAAATATTTGTAACATGAAAATTCAGAACATTGCCTACCCTCCGATTTCCGTCAAACGTCCCGAAATGTCCGACAGGAATCGCATCAACAGGATTCCCGCGTTTTTGTCTGCAATCCGTGCGCGTTATACGTTGTATCAATTCCCGTAACACGAGAGTTGTTCCCGCGGGTATATTTCATCGTGAAATGCGCTTCTGCTGCATCTGCTCTTTGCGGTATTTGTTCCCATGACACGCCAGTTTGTAGCGGATTTCCGCTTTTTTGTCCATGATCTGCGCACACGTTGTCGGTTCCCATGACAGGCAAACTTGTAGCGGGTTCCCGCACGTTTATTGCACCATGAAACTTGAATCTGCTGCATCCGCTACCTGCGGTATGCGTTTCCGTGAGGTCCGAGTTTTCTCACCGTGAAACAAAAATCTGCTGCGTCCGTAAACTGCAGTATCCCTTCCCGTGACAGAGGAGTTCGTAGCGAATTCCCGCGTGTTTATCGCATTGTGAAACGAGAATTTGCCGTGTCCGCGCTCCGCGGTTTCAGTTCCCGTGTCACGTGGTTTGTAGAGGGTGCTCTGGCGTTTATCAAAAAGTTTTTATGAAGTTTTGTTGTCATATTCCATAGAGATAGCCCACCACATGTTTTTCACCATTTCTCTCTTCATTTTGGGTGGGCGTGCTTACAGAATTGTACGGTAGACTTGCGAGCTCTGCGACACGTTCAAGTCAAAGCATCCCCGTCACCATTTAGATCTATGCCTCTGTAATCTCGTTCACGTTTTTGTTGTACTGAAGATTTTAGACAGTCATAGTGGTGGTTCTTATCAATATTGCAAAGCAGGTCTTGGGGCTACATTTAAGTGCTGCATGGGCAGTGCCCCTTTTAGCATTTTCCCAATACTTTCCCTTCAATTGTGCAGGCACTAACAACGAGGCTAGGGATGCCCTCTCCTTCCATCATTCTCGCAAGATCTATTCGCACGCCATATGTGGAAGAAGCAAGAGAAGACATTGGAGTCAACAACGAGGCAGCTCGTGACGATGAAGTTTTGAATTTGAATGCACGAAAGAGTCTGGGCAGAACAGAAACCAGATCCTTTGAGGCAAAAGTGTCGCTCCAGGCAGCATAGTGACAGAGGCCAGAGAAAGACAGGCATGCTTACTGTTTGGCATCTAGGTACTTGGCGACATCGAAGAGTGAGGGCCGCTCCTCTGCCGAGGCTGCTTAATAAAAGAGGGAGAAAAAGGGCATCTTCAAATGACAGTTCTGTATCTACAGCAACCGACGGCTTAAGAAACGTCGGGTGTGGCTGTTCCTGCCGCTTGCTTAGTGACTTGCTCTTGGTCATTCTTATCGGCCGTGACCTCACTGGCTGAGGAGCAATAACGAGATGATCAGGAAAGGCCACGCCCTGCATTTGTTAAGTCGCGAGTGACTATAGTCATGGTAGGACGACGCTGCTTCTATGAGGTGTGCTCAAGATGTTATCTACCGATACACGAGAGGCAGTCTTGAAAGGAAAGATGTCCCGCTGTGCGATTTACTATGAACTCAACTTCCCCATTCATGGACCGCAAATTCCTTCTCTGGCAATAACTCTGCTTTTGAGTTTCTGGTTGAAAAAGGACATATGTATTCAATTTAGTCACCAGAGAATCACTTTCACGGAAGGATAAAAAAATTGTCTCGATTGACGTGGTTTTCTGCTTATCAGGTGCCGTATATATTACCATTGCGAGTTTAAGGGGAAGGCATAAAGTTCACGTTGTGCCTGAACAAACTCCTGCTTTGGAACGTGCAAATTCTGGAGTTGGAACACTGCTCAAGCTGCATTCACGCAGCTTTTTCTCTGGCCTCCCATTCACCACATGTATCTGTGGTGAAGAATAAAGTTATTATTATTATTAAAGAATATAAACTAGCTTTTCCCTCCGAGCTTAGTAGCATTTGGGGTAAAGAACACATCAAACACTTTTTGCATCTCAGGTATTCATACATCTCTTCATTTAATTTAAATTGCATGCATTTCAATAACTCCCCTTTCACATATTATACAGTCCAAAACTTAGTGGACACGTAAATTCACACTGTGCACTTGGACGGCGCCGTTAAGACAACACGTGACCCTGACTGCAGCTCTTCCATAATGAGCATGTATTAAAGCACTTGGAAAATACTTTTACAAAAAATGCACGACTGCGAGCAGTTCTTTTTTTTTTTTAATAAGTTTTTTTGTTACCCGTTGGAGTACGGCAGGCACATAAAATTTAAACGTGTAACACACGCATGTAACATGTGTCCAATCAGCATGATGCACGGCGGCCCTCTCATGTAGGTGGTGTCACCACGACAGAGTGAATGACAATGAGCACAAGAGAGTGAGAATTAGAGGGAGAGAGAGAGAGTGAAAGAAGCGAGAGAGAGGAAGAGAGAGACGACGCACCTTTGCGAGTGTTGATGGGGCCTCCCCGCATGCCTAGGACCAGCTTGAGGGTCGCACCATCCGTGATATTGCAGTCGTGCAGGGAGGATTCGTCCGGTAGTTCCTGGCACTGCCAGATCAGGTGCTGCTGGGACACCGGGATGCCTGGCGGAAGAAACGCCACCGTGCAGCGACTCAAGATCTGTCGAGCCACGTCTCCGCATCTCGGCCAAAGCACGGCACATTTCCAAATTGTTGTCATCGTTCGACGTACTCCCTACGAAAAATGGTACTCCCGAGACGAGTTGGGCACGAATTCAACAAACTGCTCGAGTACATGAAACTGCATAGAATGTTGCATGTGTTTCAAGGCTTTTTTTTTAATTATGATTGTGTAGCAATTGTATAATATTTATTTATTTGAATAAATAAAACAATGCTACCATAAATATATTGCCTCACTTTGTTGTATTGAACTGTGTTTTGCCTGTATGCATTTCTTTTCTGTAAATATCCTTTCACATAAATTTGTCTTTGTTTTGTTATCTATGCCACTGCTACCAAATGTAAGGATGGGAAGGCCGAGGGCTCGTCAAGCTGCATCATGCAGCTTTTTTCCTCCTTCTCCCTCCGTCATAGACTTTTTGACAAAAAATAAAAACAAATTCTTATTATTAAAATGTTGCAAAACTAACCACAATGCAGCTTTTGGAACCTTTCACGGAATCAACATTTTGCAACTGGAAGTGAACAGCTCCTAGGGCTTCCATGTCTCCTAATTTCATCGAGTTTGCACAATTGCTTTTTATGCAGAAGGTTTGCGTAAATGAAGTCACCAAGAAACACAAGACGTTTAAGCGTATAGCACACCGGGCAAGCAGCAATGGCACAATTCATCTCTTCGACTCAAGTATTCAGTGGCTAAGTTGCTCACATCATCGTAATTTCTTTGAACAACAGTACCGAACCAAAGACTCAAATGTTTATGCAGTGGGGAACAGTGACATGGTGCATGATATCACCACCAGGGGTGCTGCAACTGATGCCCTGCTCTTCAGTTTCCAATGGAACAGAAGATATTGGTTCAACCCAGGGCCGTACCCAGAAAAACATTTCGGGGGGGGTTTTCGGGGACAACGGCGGCCATTTTGAAAGTGTCTATTGTCTTATTTTCGCCTATGAATCATGTGCATCGGTGGCATATAATGGAGAGTTACAGCAAACCGGAGAACCGGTCCCAGTTTGGTACCTGGTAGCCGACCGGCACCACTGCGCGTGCGCAGAGATTAAGATTAAAATCGGCTGGCTGCCAGTGCACTGACCAGGGCCGTACCCAGAAAAAAATTTCGGGGGGGGTCATAACCCCCTAACCCCCCCCCTGGTTACGACCCTGGTTCAACCCCATATTGATTCGACACAACACTAGCAATGCATTTTAAACCAATGACACGAGTGAGTGGTACTTATGGGAAAAACGTAGCACGGACATGCATATTTTTAATGTCGCGTCTAAAGTGCCGTCCGACGAAGTTCCCACAGAGCGTTCAATTGTCGTCCGACGACGTGCCTACCAACTGTTCAAGCGTCGTTCCTTTAAAAAGAATGCCATGCTTTTGGAATATTGTGGCCAAAATTAGTATGTCTCCTTTCTCTGCACCTTTTTTGTGTTAAAACACCGCAGTTTTGAGTATACTCGGTTATAAATATTTGATAAAAGTTCAATTATGGAAATTAGTCTCTTTTTACCTCTCCTTTCGTTGCACTGTATATGCCCTCGTATGCGTGATTCTCTACCAAACATCACCAATTCTTTACAAAAAAAAAAAAAATGTCAACTCCTCTCACATTTCCTCTTGAATCAATGATCAGTTCAAAGATAAAGGTTACTATGCAAGCAAGCTCGTGATTACAATCGTAGTGAAAAAAACCTTAAGACTAGGGACAAAAATTGGGACAATGTAACACCATCTCAAAAAGACAGTGTTGGGTAGTCCTAATTTTTGTCCCTAGTCTCAAGGTTGTTTTTTAGGGGTGAAGCTCCTTAGGGCTAGCCATGTCCGTATGTCCGTCCAGCGTGCCCCTGCTCGTGATTTCAGCAGCGAGAGCAAGAAAAAAAATGAAAAAAAGAAAAAGAAGAAAAAAAATAGGGGGTTCTAAAATGTCATCCTATCTGTCTTCTTAAAAAAAAGAAAAGGAAGAAAAACACACATTCTCCTACTGCATGAATGAAAATGGCACCATCAGCACTACCTATGACCAAAATCAGTATCAAGAAAAAAAAGAGTAGGGGGTTTTGAGTTGCCATCCCACCTGTCTTCTTGCAAAAAGAAAAAGAAGAAAACCCCACATTCTTCTACTGAAAAAACGGCACCATCAGCACTACCTATGACCAAAATCAGTATCATCAGCACCACCCGAGCTTCGCCCCAATCAACATCATTCACCACGTAAAGATGCGGTAATTTTTTTTTTTTCACTATGACCAGTTCAAAGCTGGCATTCCATATTGTCAAACGTCAGCCTATGATTCCTTCATATCTAGAACAATGTGAGAGTGGATCCACCTGCCCGAATCCCCCCCCCCCATTAGTGTCAATACCCTCAAAATTTGTTTTAAAACCGCCGTTAATAATTACTTTTGTGCAAGTGTCCTGTAACTGTGTTTTACTAATATTTTGCCTAATTCAATGTGTTAGTTACCTACTCCCCTCCTTAATGCCCTCTCGCCCAAATAAAGAACTAGAATCTGAATAACAAAATATTGTACTTCTAACTCGCTTCGATAGTGCAACGGGTAGTTTGAGCTTCGTCGAATATCAATGCATCTTGGATACCATGTGTCTTGGACAAATCTTTTCTTGCTTTTTTTTTTTTTCCTCTTTTGGTATCTCTGGCCACCCCTGGGAAAACGCAAGATCCAAACTCAACTTTATTTGAAGTCGCACAATAGTAACCTTTGAGAACATGCCACTTTGGCAGACGCATAGAGACCGCATGCCTGTAAAGCATAGGCAAGAAAGCACGCTGCTAGAGCTCCTGTGGCATTTGCCTCGCTCACACTTTACGACAAAACCTATCAACACGCATTAGAATACAGGTAGACAGTGAGGAAGAGGAAGACAGGAGTGGACGTCAAGACACCGAAATCCGGTTGGAATGATTAATGGGTGAACACAAATCTCGCTGCTTTTGTTTCTACTCGCTGTTCGAAAGCAGACGCCAAGTGTCGGACGTTGATCTTCAAACATGTTCGAACAGCGAGTGGAGACAAAGGTTGCTAGCTTTTCGTCTACCCGCTAACCATTCCAACCAGCGCTCGCCAAAACCCAATGCCCCTGTGCGCTCTCAGCTCCTTCTCTCTCTCAGTTTCCGTTTAAGTGTGTGCCGTGTGTTTAACCCCTTTGCATGGCACTCGAATGCGTGCCTGGACTGCCGTTGAACGGCACTGAATGCTTAGATACAAAAATCAATTGCAAAACTAATAACCGTCACATAAAAAAAAAAAAAAACTTGCACCAACATTTTTAGGGACGCATTTTTTTGCGGAAGAGTCTCATATTGGCCGAGAAAAGCAGAGTCAAACTGAGGTCCAGAGTGGGGCACTACGACATCATAGTGAACGGACTGAACGTGCTCCAAGTTTCTAGAAATCAATGTGTTCCTGGTGTTTCAGTGGCCACGAAAATTACACTTTGCGGAATCTATTCATTTCAATCCTAATAATGTGCCTCAGCTTTGAAAATATTTCGTGCTCATGTTGTCCCGCACGTGACCGTGAACGCGCCATTCTCGAGCACATAAAAAGCTTGATTTTAAGTCGCAATATTTTTTTTTTTTTGAAAGTTGGCCCCTCGCAGATTGTGCTTGACTTACCTAGCCAGCATCCCTCCAGGTAATAGACTGGATTGCATTTAATATATGGTGAAACGGAAGTAACATGCAATGCTCACAGCAAAACTATAAAACGGTGAAATGATACACTCGCTTCGTTTGAGCGAAGAAAAAATAAGTAGCCGGTCACAAGTTGCTTTTGTGAAAAAGCAAACGTATTGAAGCAAGTAAGGACCGCACAAACAGCACAGCACTCGGCATGAACAAGCAATTTGCAGTTTTTACCGTTTTTCCCTTAAAATTCAAAATCTGCCACCGAAACGACTACCGGGTGGCAAAAAGACCTCATTCATACCAGTAACTTAAATGGCCGAATTTGTTGATTTGTTGCCCATCAATACTGCCGAGTAAAATTCAGAAAAGCGCCAAAGTCGGTTACTGGCTTCATACACAGTACCTGGTTAGCTCAGTTGGTAGAGCACTCCACTGGAAATGGAGAGGTCCCTGGCTCGATACCACGACCAAGCGGATTTTTTCAGTCGTGCACCAGTCACCTACCCATGTTTGGAGACTTGTGTTTGTCCTTTGTCCCCCCTTGTTCCCCCTATCCAGGGATTATTATTGTTAATCTTGTCCAGCTCACAGAACCTTAGCATTAATTGCATTAACGTCATAGTCTTCTCTGGTTTTGTATTTTGGCATCATGACCTTGCAATTCTGAGTTTTCCAGATAAATTCTAATTGTCGAAACGTTTTTCAGCGAGTGTGTCTATCGGATTTATCCAAGAACACGAACCCCTCCCTATCTATAAGTCAAACAATGTATATTGTAAGTACCACACTCAGGGAGTACACATTTATATAGTTACATAGATTCAAAGTTTTTTATCCAGGCTGTTTGTAAGCATGCAGGGATGGGCAAAATACATGCAAATATGTATTGAAATACAAATTCAAAATACTTCGCCAAAAATGTATTTAATTACAAATCTAATTACATTTCCAAGAAAAACATTTAAGTACAAGATGCAAATACAACCAAATGTATTTGGTCTCCTCCAAATACTTTTCCAAATACATTCCTCGAAAGTTGTGTCACTGACTTCAGGGCACCTGCAACGGGTTTCTGGGTATCTTGTTTTAATTTTGCATCGCACACTCGGGAGTTAGTGTGCGAGGCTCTAGTAACGTAATATAATTATAATCACAAAAAAAAAAAAGTAATCAGCTTGGACGTAATAGGTGAAAAAAGTACAGAGCTTCAAGCAGCTTTTTTTGTTGATAACATTTTGGTATTATAGACCAACAAAGAACCGAGACGACCAAGACGCGCAGCGTTAGCTAGAGAATTTTTTATTGTTGCAACTTGCACCAGTTACGTAAATCTGGACGACCCGCGCATTTACAATGTTCCAGGCAAAAATATTGATGGAAATCAGGCTGGAAAGCATCACAAGTTGTCACAGGCACTTATTTAGCCAGTCTGCCTGTGAGCGTCGATTTCGTCACTATTCTTGCCCTGAACTAGCACCGTAATCACAAAGTCACTAAACGCTTGTGCTTAATTGAGAGACACTGCATTGGGTGCAGAACGTAGTTTTCTTCCTGCTCTGGACAGTGACAATAAATTTGAGGGATGTATTTTCGCTCACAAAATTGTACTTAATTACAATTGTATTTGAAATACCCACGTTTTAGCATTTAAATACACACGTCAAATACATTACCCAATTTGTAATTAAATATAAATGCAAAATACACGAAGTATTTGAAATACATATTTCAAATACTTGTATTTGATATACTGCCCATCCCTGTAAGCATGTATTGAAAAGCTTTTCCCATTTTCTCAAAATTCATTTTTTCATTGCAACAGAAAGTTTTACCCGCATTATCTTTGAATATAGAACTTGAACCTGAATACTCTTTTCAGGGTTTTATACCTCATAAATCAAAGAGTGCAACAGGACTACTATTACAAGAAAATGATAACTATAAAAAAATGTATAATTGGAAAAGACGAATAACTAGCTTCTAATTATCAGCCAAAACATTTCAGCTTGTGATAACTTTTTCTAGAATGATGCTAAAATGATAACAATGGCTTTGCTGCACTCTCCATTGCCTGTAGAACATGCTGGCATGGTTGTGCTATATTTTTTTTTATGTGGGTATTGTAAATAAAGTATGACAGAAACATTTGTGATAAGGTATATGTTGAAAACTATGATGGGAAAAATTTAGCTTATGTTGCTTAGCACAAGGACCTAAGTATATCTTTAAATTTAATATAAATTAGATGAGAAATGACAGAGAAATGTTCAGGACCAGTGTCTCCCAAGCATGTTTAAAAGCTAAAATCTTACACACACCAAACTACACTAAGATTTTTTTTTTTAATACTTAATTATGACGAGACAGATTTTGTGAATGACCGGTTAAGTTAATGATGATTTCTACATGATGAAAGGTCCTTTGTGAGCTAATAGAGCAGGTGTTTCTTAAAGCGAGCTGGTATGAGAATTTGTTTTACATGCATACTGTGCACCGTACACAGACTATCTAAGGAAAAATGTCGTACTCGGCCAAGATTTGCCCCTGTAGACTATGCACCGATGGCAGACTTTAGTTTAGAAAGTGTGGTCATGAACCAAGTCAAAAGCCACTTAAAAAAGGCAGTCAAGTACAGTAACAAATTTTACTCCAACTTAAGAAGAATCTAACTAAATTGAAAATAAATTTATACAATTCAAGTACTAGTAATCATTTGTTTAAAAGCTCATGTGAACAGGATATAGCCAAACTCCCTACTTGCCCAAGACATCAAGGTTTCTAGCTGGTTGAGTAGTAGTAGTATCAGCAATAGTAGTATTACTAAAATTAGTAGTAGCAACAATAGTCAGAACTATGACTGACACTAAAAAGCTCCCTAGGCATCCGTCAAATCCTTAGGTTAGAGTCTATACTTACACCTTGCGAAAATTGTGTGCGACTGCCATAATAGACGGACCGGCTTTTATGATTATGTGCATCTGTTAGACGTGCCTGGTCTTTCACTTTTTCCAATAGACGACTAGATTGCGATATGGTGTTCCTCTATAAGGTGCTCAAATCTCGTCATTGATTCCCCCCGGTTACTAAGTAGAATCTCGCTCCCAATGGCTAAATAGGTCTACGATTTTTTTCCATCCTCGTGACTAAGAATTTGGTTTTCCATTGACAAACATGTAGCTTATATATGGCAAGCCAAATAAACAGCTCCGACTTTTTATCTTGCTTTCTGAAAAGTTCAAGACAAGTGATTACTTGTTAGTCATAATTCTTTTTTATCTCGCGTATGTATTTGGGACAGAATAAAACATGAAGTGAATTGAAGCTGTTTCACGGCATTTTTTGCCTGGCCTCACCTTCATCCATTGGACGAGAAATAAAAGTAACTGCATGGTCTCGCAATAGGCTGTAGACCTTTCGGTTTATTCAAAAAAGAATGAGCACCCAAATCGCAAAATGAGTTCAAGCTGGAACAGTTAAATTATGCTCCAGCTCCGCGATTTGCTCAAGAGATAGCACCACAAAATAAATACATACATATGACCCATAAGCGTTTTTCTGCGGAAGTGTGTGATGTGCTTGATATTACAGATGTCAACTGGCCATAGAAGCATTAAATTGAGTAACCTATTGAAAACAAATTAATCCAAAATAAACCATTGAATGAAAAAGGTTTCCAGGCCTTAGCGTGAAAGGACGTCAAAAAATGGGCTGCAATTATTCACGAAGCCCGCTTCCAGGAGCGACATTCGCCTACTTGTTTGCAAAACAGACACTGTGATGCAATTTCGACTAAATTACATTTTCTTTATCAGGGAACCTTGATTCATCCCCTATCTAGGGACACAAAAACGAAGCGAACTTTATTTATTCTAATACAGAATTGCAACACTATCACCAAGGCAAAAAATGTTGATCGCTGGGAGGCATGCATGCATGCATGGTATCCGATATTCCACAGAAGAGAGCAACTGCCCATTTTCCAGAGACCAGGGGGGCTATGTTCGACAAATGCTTTGTTTCTCCTGAAAAGAATGGGAAGTGACGGAACTGACAATATCACATCCGATTGGTCAGAGGCTCAAATGATGAAAGAGGCAACTTTCGTCATTTGAGCCTCGAATCAATCAGACGTGAGATCGTAAGTTCCGTCACTTTTGTTTCTTTTTAGGAGAAACGAAACTTTCGTCGAACATAGCCCCCCTGGTGACAAAGATGGCAGTATGCAGAAGAATTGGAACAGTCTGTACAAAGCAAACATAGCATGCAAGCTGGAGCTCAAATATTTCCTTCGTGACCACAATGCTCAAAAAAAGAATGAATAAATGATGTGATATTTTTGTGAAAGACATTCATGTGCTCGATTTAGGATACCATGGGATTGTTATCACACGCACTGAAGTTTTGTAAGAAGATTGTCCATTACGAAAACCCTTTGCAACCATAAAAAAGCCGCGTTTTATAACGGTTAATACTATTAGGTAATGCCTCATCCGCCACTTCAGAATTCAACACCCTAAAGTGCCAAACCGTCGAGAAAATTGGCACTTCCGTTGCGCGGCGCAGGTTTTTTTTTCAACGAGACTTTCGAAGCAAGCGCGTGCTTGTCGCCGGCCACGAAAGACCACGTCCAAACGCGCCCGTCCGTCCACCCTTCCCCTCCCACTCCGACTGACAGCCCGGAGTCGGGGTTTAACGCCGTAAAACAATTTACGGGCACCCGCAGCCAGAAAGGGGTTCGGACACGACGAGACAACAGGTTTTTCGAGGGATCGTCACCGAAAACAAGATAAGCGCCGCGCAGAAGGAAAAAAACTACGTAAAACAAGACAACAAAAAAAAAAGAAAAAAAAGAATCGGATGTTAGCACGAGGTGAATGGTCGTGGCACATGAGTCACGTCGTCCGTGTAAACACCACCAGAGCGTTCTCGGCATGGCTTCACGAAACCCAGCCAACAGGGCCCCGAAAACAAGCTCGGATCGCGAACGCTGGAAACAACCACAACACAACAACAGGATGTAACTCACCTTCTAGCCTCGATATCCTCGTCTTGATGGAAACAACCGTGTCCGCTGGAGAGACCAGCAGCTCGAAAGCGGTGCCGTGCAAGGTCTCGATGAATACTTCGATCACGTTACTACTGGCCATCGCCGAACGTAGTACCTGCGAAAGCGTTCCGCCCGCCCCACCACTCAAGTTCGCACCGTTCAACCGGACAGCCCGGCACAAGATCGAACGGGTCGTCGCAAAAACAATGCATACGTTTTCGAAAGTCTCCTCCGCCGCCACCAGCCAGCGCGTCTAATCTTAGCCCCGCTGTGCAGTTCAGCGTTCCGGCTTTTATGTTCGTCGTTCTCGAGTATCGCTTGGCGACGACGCGCGTCCACCCAAATCGGCGTCCGCGGCTTGACATGAATATGGTCAGGGCAAACCAAACGCACAAAGGCCGGCTTCCTTGGCCCGCAAAAAGCGCTCGCTTTACACCTGCGAGGCGGCGAGCGATTCGCTAAATATTACGAGGTGCAACGACGAGCTGACACCGTTTTCCAAGAGGAGGTGGCTTCGCCCCGGTTTGCGGTGCACGGCCGCTCGGCTCTGAATCTCACAGCCTAAACGCGTTAACGAAACGAGCAGATTCCACTTAACACCGCAGCCCCAAAACTAAAAGAAAAACGAAGAAACGCGATTGGAAGACAAAAAATTATGCATATTAACCGGGACGGAAAAACCGATAACAAAAAAAATAAAAAGGAAAAGACGCTTACTTGAAGTGGGCAGCACCACGGGAGCACTACGCCTTCTTCGGTGTAGAACTTGCTGTTCGGCGCGTTCCAAACCGAAGGGCACCACACACATGGAGCGAATAAATGGGGAATAGAGCGGGTCAATGTGGTACACGAGTCTATGTCCTAGAGGTTCTTTTGGGGGGACGCTAGATCCCGGGCGGCGCACATTCCACGACGGCTCGAAGCGGTCCGCTGTCATCGGACGGGAAGCACCCGCCGCCGCGCTGCGAGTGCCGACGGTCGGGCCGTGCGCGTCGGGGGCCCATGGCACTGGCTCCGGGGCTCGCCGGTGATCCTCTTTGCTGCTTCGGTCACCCGCAATCGAATCCTCCTGCCGAAGCTGGTCCTGGTAAAAGGTGGCGGCGGCGAAGCGCTGTGTTCCACGTTTGAGAAACTGTGTTCTTTATTAAACTCCGTCACTACCCTCGGGAAATAAAAGAGACCTCTCTCCCCCCACGAAAGAGACGACGGTTGCCCGCGCAGCAACTGGAATTTTGCCCGCGCCACCGACGACGCCCGCTGACGCCCCTCTTCAGAGAAAATATGCCGCGGCTTCCGCTGCCGCACCCTGGGCGGGTAGGTCCGCTTCTAGGGTCCGTTCAATGGAAATCTGAAGCAGATTACTTGATGGACTGAATAAAATAAAACGTAATTTAGTCGCGTGCACGCTTCCGTCGTGCGTGTGGGTTTCTCTAGCCGTGCGAATGTGCAAACAAAAAGAAAAAAAAAGTACTCAGTTTGCATTGAATTTTTTTTAAGTGTATTTTCTGGAGAAAATATATATGATATTGCCATGCAAAAAAGAACTGGAGCCTTTCGTCTGACTTATCAAGCAATGTGGTACGCTCTCTAAAAATAGCGAATCCGCATATCACATGTTGGCAACGTTTTATGCCACAGAGGCGCCAATTTCAAACATCTCGTTTGCAGTTAGGAACTACCGAGGTCTGTACTTGGCTTCTATTAACTTAGTACCGATTGTTAGCGCTTTTCAGCAAGTCACAACTGGTCTGTAGTCGGGGAGAAGGAAAGGAAAATTTGACTTGAGTAGAAGCGAGGGAGTATTCACTGGCGTTCATAGCTGTGTGCACCACTGCTGAGCACGTGCTGATGGCGAGCTTCCACAGTTCTCTTGCAGCATGCATTCCACACCATCAAGAGTGCCGGCCTTAGCAGCCTATTAATGTAAGCTTGTTCTGAGCATGCGCTAAGAACATCACCCTCAAATATGGCGTCCAGTCAATACCCCCTATAGCTAAGCAAAAAAAACAAAATTCATAGTTTTTGTTTTAGTGCTGTTAGCTGTTCGTAAATTTTCTACTTATTCCTGTAGTTTATGTACTTAATTTTTCATTGTTATATTCCTGCTACGTATGTATCTCTATGGTATTGTAAACATTTCGATTATACTGTTGTTGCTTAAAGGGCCCATGAAACGATTTTTGGGTTGGGATAAATCATTTTAGATTGGGATTTTACTAATAGCACATTGTTCAGTGGACCAAAAGAAAAAAGGTAGAAAGTCAAAAGCCTGACTTTCAGTGCGAAAATTTGAAAACAGAGCGGACTATTTCGTACCTCCTCCCCTTCGCGACCTCTCTGTCTTTTCACTGTGATACATCCGCGGTCCCAAAAGCGCATCATCGGGTCCAAACTGACGTCACACGCAACCGGACCTCACTTATTCCCTTCACCCCTAAGCTGACATTGTGGTGGAAGCTACACGCTTGCCGGACCAATCAGCCGCCTCCCTTTCATCACCTGACTTCATTCTCTGCAGCCACATTTGCCACGCTCACGTGGCAAGCGTGGCTGGCCCAACGATTACGTAGCTTCAACAGCACTGTCAGCTTCGGAATGAACGGGGTGGGGAAAGCAACTTTTGTCTGAATTTTGAGTGACGGGCTAATCTTCTAGGGGGAGAATGGATGTGTCCGGATTACACAAACGACAGTGCGAGAAAGAGGGGTCTCCCCTTTTTCGTCTTGTTTAACTCTTTTTTTGGAATGCGCGATTTATGAGTTGAGGAGGAAAGCTAAACAGGAAAAAGTTGGAAAAGCGTTTCATGACCCCTTTAAAACTTTAGCTGTTTGTATTTTTCCTGACATTTATACCTTTGCGTAAACTGTAATGAAACAGTGCTCGTCAAGTTTTTTACATTTTTGTACTGGCTTTTCTTTCAGGATCTGCCAGAAAGAAAACAAAACGAAATAAAAATAAAACCGGCTGAAAGCGCTAAAAAAAGGGGGTCTCACCTGTTTGTTTAGCCCCGCACACTACTGAGTAGACAAATGAAACACTGTAAATATAAATTATTATTATTATTATTATCACCATCATCATGGTGGCGGCACTGGCTCGCGCACTGATCTCTTTGACGATTGCTGGATCGCGCATCCTTGCTTGTTCGCTGCAGCGCGAGTAGTTCACTGTAGCGCGAGTGCAGCCACCGGACGGCCATCTTGCATGAAGTTTTCTTTTCGTTTTCTTAGCATCGCAGAAGCCGGCGGCAGCGTGCTAAATACGCGTTTTCTACTCGATCGCCGTCATTCACCGAAGACGTTTTTTTAAGATCCTGTGTGAGCCGTGATACTTGCCATTGAGAACACGGGGAAATTTTTACGAAAGTGCGGCACTGCAGGAAAAAGGCACAACTCGTTGAAAGCAAGTTTCGCCGGTCTAGCGGCGTGTTTAAAGCTTCCTTGGCACGCCGAAGTGCTGTCCCGCACGAAAATGTCAGATACAGGCCGGAATGAAAAATGCCGGTTTCTCCTGGACCCAAAATTGGGGCACCAGTTTGTATCCAGCCTGGAACCGCGCAGTTCCAGACGGGATACAAACTGGTGCCCCAATTTTAGATCCAGGCGGAACTGGCTGGATCCAGTGGTTCTGCGGAGCCACTGGTACCGCGCGGTACCAACCGGTGCCTCAGTTTCAGACCCAGGCGGTTTGCCGCCGGAATTCCCGTTGCGCTCACCACTGGACTCTACAAAAGTATTTCCCGCGGTGCCCTTAGCCGTTACAAACGAGAGATCGTCGCGATTTCAGACCCAGGCGGAACAACCTGGGTCTGAAATCGCGACCATCTCTCTCTAAGGGCATCGGGCGAAATCCTTTTGTAGAGTCCAGTGGTGAGCGCAGCGGGAATTCCGGCGGCGCACACGGTCGCCCAGGCGCCGTCACCAAACACGGTGCACAGAACACACACACGGCACGCACAAGCGGTATCCGAGTTGTCCAAGTATTGTCACCAATCACACCAGCGCCAAGCGCATCCAGATACCGAGCCAAAGTGCAATGGGTCGGCAGCTTCACACTATATGAAGATTCAAAGCCGAGGTCACTGGGTATCCATCCAGGGAACGATGGCTGCGTCAATATCCGTGTGCCCACAGCGCGAACGCCGCCGCCGGGCGGGCGCCGACCGACAGCCCGACGAGAACGGAGAACCTAAACTCTCAGAGTGTTGTACGCGTTCCTCAAAAAAGAAACGAAAGGTCGTTCCTCGTTCCTTGTGATTTTTGGAACGCGTTCCCGTTACAAGTTACATCTGTGAAAAAGGACGTTACAGTTTAAAAAATGGAACGTATCGTTACATATACGTTACATTTGTATTTTGCTAATTACTATATTCAATTTCATCAAGCAGAGTTTTTTTTTTTTATCGATCCCATTAGTAGTCAACATACGAGTTTGTATGTCGTTATGGAAGGGCAACATGAGAAGAAAACAAGTGGAAGCAGGGTTTCATTTGTTGATATGTTCAAGTTAAAAATCTAAGCTTTTAACCATATTCATGTTTGTAGCGAACGATTCAGACGAGCCGAATGTACTTTTACCCAACATTGTACCAGCGTAGCAACCTCACACGTTTCAATTGAGTAGAGCCCCTTCTTCGAACTTAACAAGAGTTGCTTCTCGATGCTGCTGTCCGCAAGACGAGCAAGTCGAAGAGAGGGTAGGGCTTTTGGAAGGATTCCGAGTCAAGAGGTCCAACGAGTCAAAAGATCCAGTATTGGACCTTTGGACTCGTTGGATCTTTTGAGTACTCGTTGGATCTCTTGACCAGAAGCGTTTTGGAAGGTCAGTCTTAAAAACTACAAATACTTCTTTGTAAGATTGGCTTTGTTGTTCATTTGAAGGTGGGGGACAAGAGAAGAAATAAATTTTTTTTGTTTGTATCTTTTAAGTGACCAATGTTCGGAATACAAGGGTGCATTCGATATCTGGCAATCTGTGATCTCGTTGTAACTGTAGGTCTCGTTATGGAAGTTCACAAGTGGCTGTAGTCGGCCTTAGATTTCTGGGTGCATGAGGATTCGTGAAACCAAAGAAAGTAGCTGAGCTTGAAACAACCCTCTTTCTTTGTCTTTTCCTACGACTAAAAGCCTTGCTTTTTGTACCGCAGTTTCGGGCACTCAAAAAAGAATCAATGTCCACCAGCTCCTGCACCCTAAAGTGTTAGCAAGCGAGGACCACACAAAAGAGTAGCCAAAAAGGTAACTAGATCCAGCACTTCGTGGAGATATTGCTTTGGTACTTTAAAAATTCCCTGTTCGAAACAAAATAAAATTTACCCCACTGGACAAAAAAAGGAACGCCGTTACTCTTTCCGTTCCAGTAAAAATGTAACGCGTTCTCGTTTCAGTTCCAGAGATGCAAAATGGAACGGCGGCGTTCCTTCGTTCCTTCTAAAAGGAACGCGTTCCAGGAACGCCGTTCCGTACAACACTGCTCTCGGAGCGCTGCCGCCGACTGCAACAGACAAAGCGAGGCGCGCGCGCGCAGAGAACGCCCGCTCTATGGTGTACTAGAAGTACACCATACCCGCTCGCAGCGCCTGCGCATCCGCTAGGGATGCGCCTGTCCCTAACACGTGACCCGTGAGAGACGGCGGGACTTCCCTTGGATAAAGTGAACTACCTTGGACTTCCCCGCCAACCCACCCCCCCCCCTCTTTTCCCTCTCTCTCTCCCTCCTCCAGTCACGCATATGCGCGCCCGCTGGCTGGGAGCAGACCCTGCTGGAAGCAAGGGGAGCGGATCGGATCCACCTCAGAGCCTCCACCCATTACCGTGCGGTTCCAGCGCCTCGCGTCTCATTGGATCCGACTGGTTACACCCAGAACCGCACGGTGCCAGATCGGATTCGCGCGGATCTGAACTGTCCAGAAGTTTAGAACCACACGGCCCCGCGCGGATCGTAACTGGAACCACTCCGATCTGACATTTTCGTACGGGGTGCCTCTGTGCCTTCGCACGCTTGGATACCGATCAAGAATCGACGCCACGCCGTGTGGATGTGTTTTACTTGACGATTCCTTGACTAAAATCAAGGAATCATCAAGCAGATGAAGGTGGTGGTTGGTTGTCTTGCTGCATACCCAACCCGGAGGAATGCGGAGGGCAAGTTCGTCTGCTTCTTGAGCAGGGGGTAGCGGTGACGTCAGAACGCTGAGCCCTGATTGGCTGATCGCGACCCCCTCTCTGAGCGTCGTCTGCTCCTCTGCAACGTCGTCTGCTCGCGACGTCGTCCCGTCTGTCT